TCTAAGATCAACAACAATTGCAAAGGTGAGAGGGATGGCTGTGTATGCAAGAACCCAATGAGATCTGGTGCATAATCCAAGATGGCGGCTCTCCGCTGCTGGACTACCACACTGTAAACAACTTAATATCAAAATTTAAAACATTCTTTTTTTTCTTCTTCTCTTTTTCTTCTCTCTCGTTTTGCATTTTTCTCCCGTTTCAAAACTGGACTATAATGTTTTGCAACCTGGATCATCTTGAGGAATATATCGACACGGATTATAACAGACTTTACAGCACCATGAATAAGGATAAACCAGACGACGACAACAAAAATAAAAAATAAATAAAGGCAACCTCACTCCAAACTCTAAGAGACCCCGTCCCGATTAACTTTCCAGCTGAGGAGGAAGATGATGCCGCTCTGTGTCTCTCCTGAGAGCTCATCTTGACAGACTAAGAGACGACTGACGGTCAAATATTATTTACATGCTTAATAATATGCAAACAAAGCATGACGTATTTCTCTACATAAACCACCGCGACAACTTTCCAATATTCATGCTACTGACGTCTGTACTTCCAGGTCAGAGAGCAGCTGTCTATCAAAATCTCACTAGCCAATCAGAGTAGACCGCTGTTAAGCCCACCCTCATGAGAGGTTTGTGCCAAATCAGTGAACAAAAATTTGCGTGTAAGTGAAATCTGTGGCAACGCATTCAAAATCCACGATTTGCGAAAACTGATCTTTGAAAATTGTTAACAAAGGAGAGTATATTTGAAGAGCATGTTACATTTTTGCATTTAATTTTTTTTATTTTCATAGCGTTTTCTTCTTTCGTAATGGCATATTTTTGATAGTTTCTGGAAAAGTTACATTCAGGTTGATAAAGTTACGTTCATTTTTATTGACACAAATGTAATTCCATAATTCATCTGTGGTGCAGGTGTCAGATCATTAAAGAACAAAAAAACAAAACAAAAAAACTTATGTGAGCATGTTAATATCAGGAGCATCTGTATTATATATATATATATATATATATATATATATATATAATAGTCAGCAAACAGTGCTTCAGGATTGTCCTTGATCTGTTTCTGTCTGTGGAGCTGTTTAGAATGCTCAGAGCTCTTCTGAGGGTACACAAAGGGGCGGGGCCTGCATGCTGCAGCGGCCATCGCTGGTTTTAGAATGTAAACAAACAACTCTCTTTGTCTCTGTTTGTTTTTGAGAGTTCCCCTGTGAACTATATGTAGCGAATCAGCTCAAGGGGAAATATTAATAATTAATCATAAATATTGTGTGTTTGATTGGTCCAGACGCTACAATATACACATATTGATCAAAATGTCCACAATATTAAAATATTGATTAAAATCTGTGCATAAACAGTAAAACAAGACCAAAATGACAATCCTCATTTGAAACTGCCTTATAAAAAAACAAAATCAAAAATATTCCTCTTGAAGTGAATATAGCTTAACAAAAAAAAACAAAAAAAATCTGAAGTACATATTGTTTCAAAAGTTCCTTCCTTACTTTCTGGGACTCTTCCTTATTCGCTGCTGTTTGATGTTTGATATCCTCTGTTTCTCTGAGGTTTTAGTCCGTAGATAAATTCATACAGGCCTTGGTCTGAAGAGAGGTCTTCTCTCTGTGGCAGTTGTGTGGCCCTTCGGGTTGCTCTCAGTGAGTTGTCTTCTGCTGTTTTTCTTGGTTGATTTAAACTCTTCTTGTGGGTAATATAAGATGTAGGAAGTATTTTTGTTTTAAATTGGTCAGAACTGAATGTCTATCTTATTTTAAAACAACGTTAAAAGTAAAAAACAACGTTAAAAGTCAAATAATCAGGAGCTCATCTTGTTGCTGCTGCTCAACAGATGTCTCTCATCATTATATTATATCTCATCATCATAATCATCATTATCTTTTACTCATTCTTGATCCGCCCCCTCCATTTATTCCTAAGCCCATAGAAATAGTTCCCTCAGTAAACTTTCCTAAAAGCGTTGACAAAAGAGCCCAGCCAATCCTGTATTAGGGAGTCAGGATGGTGTGCAATAACTTCAATCATCTGTCTAACTGCAGGCTCCTTCACACTTGCTCATTCTGTGGCAGAGCCCACACAAGAAACTCCTGCCCTCACAACCCTACTACACCTCATGATTCATGATAGGTCACTTCAACAAAACACCATTTTCCATCATACGTAATAGCCCCATTGGTATCGCAACCCATAAATACTCCAGAAAAAAGAGACTGATAATCGACTTATCTTCTCCCCACAGTACTCACATTCCAAGCATTAACAGTATCATCCCAGCTCCAGACTACTCCATGCAATACGCTACTACCGACCTCCGTCATCGTTATCACATGTAGATAGCTAGCACTTTGATAGAAGTTTGTAGTGAAAAGCCCGGTTTTATTTCCGTTTTCATTTCTAAATGTTTTGTGGGCTGTAATTAAGAAAGTAGCAGTTTAAATTAGTTGTCTAGCTATCTATTCAGCCAACAGATGCAATGCATAACACTTTACAACGTTTTATTGTGCAATATTTGCTAACTGCACTAGTTCATAAAAGAGAATGGTAAACAACATTTTTTCCATCATTTATTAAGCTTTGTTAAAGTTAATTCCATCATGCACGAATGTAACAATAACAGTATTATTTTTAACATTTAACTTAACTATCCTGGGTAAGCTGAATATTAATTAAATAAATATTATTTAATAAATTTTTTTAAATTACTGTGCGTTTTAATGTTTTAACCCGATTTCGTTATATGCCGTGTTCTTTTGGAAAAAGGAGACATTGTCATGGCTGACAGAGAGGGTTTAACATCCCTGAGTATTTTGCTGCAAAAGGGGTCCAGCTACTCATACCAGCTTCAACTCGTGGAAAGACGCAGCTTTCAGGACAGGAAGTGTCCGTGTCACGTCACATGTCAAGGATGAGGATTCATGTGGAAAGAGCTATTGGCCGCATTAAAAATTACTGTATTTTGCGACAAACACTCCCCATAAACTTGGCCAAGCGAAGACCCAAAGACAGTGGCAACAGTTGATAAAATATCACTAGTTTGTTCTGCATTATCCAATTTGGACAAGTCATTAATTCAGTAGAAAAATATATTAGACACTGACAAGTGGTTAGAAAACTTTTATTTTGTTAGACTAATCTGCAAGTAAATACTTTTATCTACAACTAATAACACGTGATGAATTAGAATTTAATATTAATTAGATTTTTTTTAAATAAATAAATAAAGACACGTTAGCCAGCATTGAATTGCATGCACCTTCTTGTTTATTCATGACCACACACAGGGCTCAGATGCTACAGATGGAGCATTCAAACCCTCTCTCACACACTGTTACCTACTACACACTTCACCTAATCTAACCACAAACATATCAAAACGTATGAAATAATTATGTATGCAATAAATTAATTTAATAGAATTCAGTTAGCAATATGATTTACTATTAGCATTGACGTACAGACTTACCCGGTGATGCAAGTGCAATGCCCACTAATAACCTCCCCGGTCACCTTAGCAGTGAACCAAGCAGAGTACGTTTTTGACAACGTTTGACTTGCTCCAACCTTGCCAAACACAAGATAAACGTCGTCCACATTGTATGAACGAATGCTTCCAACTTTTCCGCTAAGGAAGTAATTGTAGGCATCCAGACTACGATATGCCTTTACCGCTTCTCTCGTGTAGACGCACTCGGTCTCAACCAGATAATGATACACGTCTGGATACGTTATTTCAGGTAATCGTTTAACGTTCGGAGTGAAAAGTTGTCGCCTCAATGTCTGATTCAAGGGGTCCGGTAACTCCACGTTATCGTAAATTCTTAGTTCTTTAAATATCTTAACTGTTCTGGTTTAGCTAGACTTAAAAAGTATGTGCTAGTCTTTTTTTTTTTTTTACAGGTCTGTGATTTTAAAATGGCACCACCGGAAATACTTTAGCACCAGACATGCGCAGTATCATTGCAACGCATTTGTTATTGTTTACCTCCTTGAAATGGTCTATACCAGGGTTCCTCAAATCTTGCCCTGGAGGGCCAATGCACTGCAGATTTAGCTCCAACCCTGCTCAAACTCACTTACCTGTGATTTTCTAATGATCCTGAAGACATTGATTAGCTTGCTCAGGTGTGTTTGATTAGGGTTAGAACTAAACTATGCGCCAGATTTGAGGATCCCTGGTCTATACGATCAGGCTATATAAATCCCGTGACCGATCGAACCTTAAGAGTGTTCTCACTCGCATTCTTCGCCTTCCTATGAAGCTCATAATTGAGTCATCTACATTCAATCATTAATCTACATTCAATCCTTCCATTCATCCCTGTATCTTGGAAATTACTATCCACTCCTTAGATACTCTCATCTTCACCCTTCGAAGAAGCAAAACTGACCAATTAGGAACATCATTTCCTATTTACATCGTCCAACTAAACTCCTTTCTCAGTTTTGTTTTTTCTTTATATATCTATTTCTCTACATAGTAAAGATGAAATAACACTAATATAAGAAAAACAGAAAAATAAATAATGCACTGTGTAATTCTATGTATATGTATGCTTGCACGATGTGTGTACTTTCTTCTGCACTGAAAGCTCCTGTTGCCATGTCAAATTCCTTGTGTGTAAACATATTTGGTAATAAAGCTCCTTCTGATTCTGAAATGCATAACATGATACATTAACAGAATGGGCTACTACTTAACTGTACTTTCCACAAGCATTTCAACATCGTATCATTTGAAGTGCGTCATAAATAATTTTTCGAAGGATATGCTTAATCCCTATTTATTTACTTTTGTATGTACCTAAATTCAAATAAGCTCAACCTACTGCGTGATGTGCGAAAACAAACCTGATTATGAATTGTCATGCACATTGGTGCTGGCCTACAGAACAGTAACGTGCTCCACATCATCCTATCTCCGCTCGCTCTTACGAGTCTACATCCCCTTGTAGTGAACAGCAGACATGATGGCACCAGAAGTTCACACGTCACAACAGGAATCCCTTTGTCCCACTATGGTTAAGACAAGAGGGTGTGATAGCACCCTCAACAACTTCTGAGGTAAATTCTGGCTTATTTCTCACAGCGCGTCTTCTACCAGAAACTAAAAGTAAAAGATGAACTTGATGAATCTTCACGCTTTGTTTACGGAGATGATGTGGGCATTTACAGGTTCGCGCGTCTCATGTGGATGATTACTGTATGAATAGTGCGCACTGCTCGTGGGCGTGATCACATTACAGATAATGAGGTCAGACCGGAAAAACTGGACCTCGTGTAGGTTTCATACGGATTACTTTATCAGAGAATATTTGATTCGACAAGACTTACTTCATTTAAAAGTAGGCATTTCAAGCTTTCTATAGATATATTTATCATGTCTGTGAGGCAAGTATTCACTTTTTATTGCAACTGTGTCATTCTTTTATTGACAGTTAGAGGCTCTACAAGCTTGCCAGAATCTCACCCTTCAGATTAGTCAGATGGTAAACTCCCTCCAATTTTTATAATTCTAATTCATTATTGTCAAGGTGACAAAGATTTAGATCCAGTCTCCACCGGAGCCGCTCCTATGAGGCGCCATGTAGGATTTAAATCAAACTTTGCTTATCAATACGTACATAAAACAAGTGCATATACACCTATAAATTACTCACATATACATGTATACTATTGGATGTTCAAAAATACATATATGAAATACACGTGCACACTAATATGAAATCCATGCCAATACATACTATGTTAGTAATGAATGCATACACTTGTGAATAACTTGCGTATACATACAAAGTTGACGCATGCATACACCTATAGACACTCGCTTATACATAAACTCGATCCGTGCATATACACCTACAACACCACACGCACATACATATAAACTCGCTGCATGCAGACTCACCTATAAACTGAAAGAGGACAAACTCCTCTGCAGTTATGGCACAGGGTTATTGTTAGTCATATTGGAATCAACAACACAGCTATATCTGGTGTTTTGGACAATGATGAACATGTTGACATCATTGAAAACAGACCACATCCTGAACTACAGACCAGGAATAATATAATAGTTCCTGAAAACATTTACCGCCCAAATGACTCTACCTTGGAAAACATTCTGGAAACATTTAACCCATTACAAAATGATGGAAATCATGGAATTGATCTGTTTTTGGCACTTGTACAATTATTGGAAAGACAACAGGCTAGAACACAGTAAAAGTGCTTTATTGCGATTGTTTTGACTTAGAACTCATAAACAAGTGTTGACAAATGTTGCATTACGGCAATGCTTGTAAAAACTGTTAAATTCTATAGTTAAAGGTTTAAACAAGTACTGCTTGATTCTAACATTGCTGAAAATGATTTAATAAAGTGTTGTCATTAGACTAAAACAAATGCCTCAAGAACACTTTGGCACAACATTAGCATCTTAGCATTTAAAAGTGTCTCTTACTCCTTGCCAATTCCCTGGGTATTATTACTAGCAAATTCCATGTTGCTTTTAAAAGCACCATATGTGCTATATAATGGCAGGCGAAGGCAGTTGATGCATGTACTGGAACTGGAACTGGAAATCTTTGTGGAGTTTCTGTGTCATGGTGAAAGGCAATAGAAGGCAGAGGATGAAATCCAATTGGTGGGACCTGATCAGATCCTGTAGCAAATGCTAAGATTGCTCCAAGCCTTTGTGACCCCTTCTCTGAGTAAATAGAAAAAAGCAAAATATCAACAATTATACAGTGTATTCAGGTGGAAAAAATTAAACTGCAAAACTGATGCAGTGTTATGACACCGATACCCCTTATAAAATCTGCAAAATGTTAATATTTAAAAAAGGAGGATCATAAAAATTGTATTTTATTTTTTGATAAGCGAAGTTTGATTTAAATCCTACATGGCGCCTCATACGCTCCCCGGTCAGTTTGTGTTCTGCGCGAGACTCAAATGCTCCGCTCTCCACCCAAATATAAAAGCTGCTGTCGGTTAATGAAGATTTGACGGATGAACTCGCGGCTCGATTGGACTCGTGTCGTGTCGGAAGGTGATAAAACTTTCAGTTTTATGGACATCACCATCTTTTATATTATTTTGGTCACTGTTACTATAGTAACTGGTAAGGAATAGGGGATTGACTCCCGTTGCACGTTCATACAGACAGTATCCAAGAAGCTACTGTAAGTTGCTGTGTGAACGTGACATTTCGAGACACACACTTGTAAGTAAATGCGGTTGTCAATACCAAAAACTGACAGTGTGAACGTAGCCTTAATGTAGTATTTATTGCCTATGAATGTTGATTTAGAATGTTACAATTTGTGGAAGAATTTGGGTAGGGAAAAGAAAGTCATGTCTATTCTCAGAACAAACATAAAACAATCACTATACAAAGGCTTTTCACATGAGCATATTTAAACTAAAGGATTTATACTTTCAATAAGAAGAATGTCTACTCCGTATTTATCTTTCAGTACATAAATATGAAGATATATTTACTTATTAACCACTTTTAACCATTTTTTAGCTATTTAACAGTTAAACCACTGCCTTCAAAATATGCATGAACATTTAGTGACATTAATGCTTTAATAAAGCAAGAACAGCTGGGTTATAAAAATTAAAAATAATAATAATAACACAGACTAATCTATTTTCTGGGCTGGCACATTTTATTCCTGATTAAAATGCAAAAATGTTTAGGTTTGAATAAAGATATGGCATTTTTAAATATTTGGTGTTATTCGATAAACCCCAAAGTGAATAAAACATCTGAATGGCTGTTTGAAAACATGTAAATACTGTTTGACCTCGGTGACAAACAAGCAGGTGTCAGAAGTTGCGCGGCGCTGCTTTGTATTCGGGGTAACCATGGTAACGGCTGTATTTCTGCTGTTCCTAAAGCGCCACCTGCTGTCAGTGAGTGAACTTGCATTTTTATTCAGCACGTCTGCTGCTTTTGTTCAGATCAATGAGAAAATCTGACCAAACTTTTACACAGAAAATGCGCAGTGTTAAGTGAAAACTTGACTGGTCGAGGGAAAATAAGATAATGTGCATTTTAAAAATCTAAACCATTCGTATAGTAAGATATCTAGAATTATCCACGTATTTTGAAAGGCCCAAGATAACAATACCGTTCATTTTCATTACTGTTGTTACGTTGGCATAGTGGGACTACATAGGGCCCCCTGGTGGCCACGGGGCCCTATGCAACCTCTTATATTGCTTATTAGGTCAGGCCAGCTCTGTCAGCAAGTAATAATAATGCTCAGAATGCTTGTGGATTAAACGTTTATTGCCATGGATTTTATCGGGTTACATGAAAAGGTAGGACATGGATTTATTTGCTAACTGTTACTACTGATTTTGTGTGATACATGCTACGCTGTGATGGCATTCATGCAACTAGAAGTGGGCAGCCCCAGATTGACAGGCTGGCACTGAGTGAATAATCTGCATTATTAAAAGAAAAAACAAACAAACTAAAGATTATTTATGATTATCGTTGCCAAGTTATCTAGTCTTTGTTTGTTTACAGTGCTTTGTTAAATGGAGCAGTTTGGTAGATCGCAATCTAATTCGTCTGTCTAATGAAGTGCACTGTAATTTAAATGCGGCAGACTTTAATGGACAGTAAAACAATAAAACAAGGGCAGATAACCGTATAACTCCGGGCCGGCACAGTAGCTTCATATTGACGCACGGCTAAACAAAGGCAGAGCACCGTAACTCAATTTGAGCATTCCAAAACAAAGTCAAAGAGTGGCAACTGGTGTTATACGGTGTTCTGCCTTGGTTTCTCCTGGGCTTTTCGAATTTACTGTTAAGATAATGCATTATTTTCTAAAAAAAAAAATAATAATTGACTCAAGATACTTATCCACATGATAAAAGAGGTCTTAAATGTCACAAAATGTCACAAACTCATTTTCGACCAAAACAAAGTTAAGGCCTTTTGCCTTTGCATGGCAGTTCAGCAAGCACACCAGCAGTGTGGTTCTGGGGTAGGTATCTGGGGCCTCGTTTATAAAACTCTCCGTAGATTTCATCCTAAAAGTGTATGCTAGATTTTGCCAGAACCTGCGCAAAATCCCTTTATAAATCCCAGTCAGGGGAAGATTGTGCATACGTGCATCTGCACCCCGACTCCTCCCCGAAATCACCATATATGGAGCTTACAACGCCTTGTTTTACTATGCATAACCTCATCTGCATATCATTTCCATGCATATTCCCATCCACGTGACATGTTTTACACCGTCAAAGATAAAAGACATTAAGGAAGTATGAGATACGGACTATAAATGCCGTTTGTGCCATACATTAATTTTTATTTCTAAAAATCATCCAATATCCTTGTTATGTTTTTGAATAAATATATCAAAATAAAAACAAAAACTGTTTAAAATAGTTATCAGATAAATATTTTAGAATAGAGTTGATCCCATTCTTTAATACTGGCCAAATAGTAGCTTATTTCAATTGTTTTAAACAATTCAAATCAAACTAAATGTAATGCAGTTTTGCTGATAAGGTGAATATCTTTTAGCTATTTTGAGTGGAAACAGATAGGCCTATTTATTGCAGTGTAAAATTGTCTGACTCGGCGCATCACTAACAAAGTATAAACCTTACCGTTTTCTTCAAGTTGTAGCCTTCAAATACAGCGGTACTTTTCATAATGTTGTAGAGATGACTTCACACAACACCTCTGTGCAGCTGCGGTAACTGTAAGACATTATCATTGGACCAATTCAAACTGGATAATAGACCGTTCGACCACTGAATCCAGCAGTGTCCGCCATAATATCGAAGTGCGCATCATTGATCATTGTTCTCGCTAAAAATATTTTCTCATGAGATCTGCAGTTTAGTTTAAAGATAAATTATTGTGCACCTATAGCACTCCTCGCTGTCATTAAAACATAACATACCACAGGAAAAGTGATCTATTCATAATGTTGTAGAGATGACTTCACACGACATCAACACCTCTGTGCAGCTGTGGTTGTACAGTAAGATATTATCATTTGACCTATTCAAACTGGATAATGGACCGTTCGACCACTGAATCAAACAGTGTCCGCCATAATATCGAAGTAAGTGTGCATCATTGATCATTAATCTCGCTAAAAAATATTTTCTCATAACATGAGATCTGCAGTTTAGTTTAAAGGTGAATTATTGTGCACCTATAGCACTCGTCGCTGTCAATAAAAGAGGAAAAGTGATAAAGCGCATTTACTACAAATATGTCTAAATTCATATAATTTTGGTATAAGTTCTGCGTAATGACTTTATGTAATTTCAGTCCTTATCTCCATATGAGAGTGGAATATTTAATGTAAATGTATATATCGACATGAAAACAGAGCTTAAAATCATTGTTTTTACTTCATTAATTTTCTCACTCAAGGAAAAAGAGTTCGTACACATGGGTCAGAGTTTGCGTGCAGGTGCGCAAATTTTCCTGTCAAGTTTGTTTTTATAAATCCCACCTTTTGCGCAGGAAGTGGCGTACGCCTCTTTCAGGGCTGGTTTTGTGCGTACGCATCAGTTATAAATGAGGCCCCAGGACTGGCATTAAAGGGTTAGTTCACCCAAAAATGAAAATTGGCTTGTGTTTTACTCACCCTCGAAGCATCCTAGGGTAATTAAAGCAAAAGGAGCCCCTACCAAGTATTGAGTACATGTTGGCCTTCTGGAAAGTATGTTCATTTACTGTACAATTCACTAAAAATGTTTTTGTATTGGTCTTATGAAGTATTCTAATTTGTTGAGATGTGAAAACAGAGCTTAAAATCATTGTTTTTACTTTTATGTTTTTAAACATAAAAGTTTTTAATTTTCTCACTCAAGGAAAAAGAGTTTGTACGCATGGGTCAGAGTTTGCGTGCAGGTGCGCAAATTTTCCCAAGTTTGTTTTTATAATTCCCACCTTTTGCGCAGGAAGTGGCGTACGCCTCTTTTAGGGCTGTTTTTGTGCGTACGCAATGGTTATAAATGAGGCCCCTGGTCTCTAAACACGTCGACTGGTCAAGCTCATGCATGGGATCATATTTGAGCTTGACCACATATCTGTGGTGGAGTAAAATTAGATGTTTTTTTTTAAATCTTCATCAGAATATCATCTTTCATTTTGTTGTACAAAAGCTGGAATGGCAGTTTGGGAGCTGTGCATTTTCTTAGAATTCGTACTGCCTATCAAAAGTTTGCAGCATATTTTTAAAGCCTGTTTTTGACCATGTTAGATGGCTACATCTCTTTAGCTATATATTGAATTATGGTTGAATTATTTGCACTGTCGGGCAAAGGCATCAGTAATCGCTAATTGTCTGGAAGACAGGAGATGTGGATTGCGGCTTTCAAACCAACTTATTTTCCCAAACTGGCTGTAGTAGCAAGCAAAACACTAAATAAGACCTAGAGCAGGGGTGTCAAACTCAGTTCCTGGAGGCCCACAGCCCTGCAGAGTTTAGCTTCAACCTTAATTAAATGCACCTGACAAAAGTTTGCATTTTTTGTATTTTTAAAGCCTGTTTTTGACCATGTTAGATGGCTACATCTCTTTAGCTATATATTGAATTATGGTTGAATTATTTGCACTGTCGGGCAAAGGCATCAGTAATCGCTAATTGTCTGGAAGACAGGAGATGTGGATTGCGGCTTTCAAACCAACTTATTTTCCCAAACTGGCTGTAGTAGCAAGCAAAACACTAAATAAGACCTAGAGCAGGGGTGTCAAACTCAGTTCCTGGAGGCCCACAGCCCTGCAGAGTTTAGCTTCAACCTTAATTAAATGCACCTGATCCAGCTAATCAAGTTCTTTCGGGTTATTTGAAAACTACAGGTATATGAGTTGGAGCAGGGTTGGAACTAAACTTTGTAGGACTGTGGCCCTCCAGGAACTGAGTTCAGCAACCCTGGCCTAGAGTAAAGCCTTCTCTTCACCTGTTGCTGTCCACTCTGTGTGGAGGAGCTGCCTGCGCCTCCGACACATTGAGCAGATGAGATGACAGATACAGTGCGATCTGATATATAAATATTAATGCCACAACATTATTTTTTATAAACACAATGGGCGTTAGCACCGATAGCCTCGTAGGCAACGTGTCTACATGTAGCGTTGTTGCGCTTCGGGCGTCCCGAGTTCGAGTCCCGGTGCGTGGACCTTTCCCGATAATTTGATATAGTAATTACTGCGACACGCCTATGTATACAGAACCCCAATCAAATATAGCAACATGTTTAGTCACATGACATGCATGAGCCAGTGAGGTTTGATTGACGTGTCACCATATTTGATTTGGGGCGCTGAAAACTGAGACATTATACATAATGATAATTATGTATAATAATGTATTATTTTATAATAATGAAAATAATACATTATTAATATCAAATGTTCAATATCATATTCCATGACTATCATATTTACCATGTATTTTCCTATGGTGGCAACGAGTCCAAAACAGACATATTTCAAGTGACACGGAAAAAAGAAATGGAAAAATTAAATGAACATCAGAAAAGCAGCGTGCTCATTTATGCTTAAAAATGAAAGGTCATCAACAGACACATAAAACAGCAAGCATCACCACTCAAATCAGCAGCATGAGTCAAAGCTAGTCCACAGTTTAGTAAATGACAGTGACTGCTTTGATGCAGTGCAATAAGGTACGACATTGTTTTGATAGTTATATTCCTAAAGATTTTTCTGAGAAATACATTTTTGTGCATTTCTTTTGCCCCCTCCTCCTGTTGAAGTTGAAGGAGACACACAGAAGGTTCCAGCAGAGAGATAAAGATCTTCAGCAGCTGAGAGAGGCTGTGGAGTCTCATAAGGTGAGTCTGGAGAAGAACAGAAGTTTGTCTCAATCTCAGTTTGGACTCTCCTCTTCAGTCCCACTGAAGCCCACTGTGTGATTGTGATGTGTGTCTAACAGCGCTCTGCAGAGACAGCAGTGCATTACAGTGAGAGGATCTTTACTGAGCTCATCCGCTCCATTGAGAGAAGCCGCTCTGAGGTAACACAGATGATCAGAGATCAGGAGAAGACTGCAGTGAGTCGAGCTGAAGGGCGACTGGGGCAGGAGATCAATGATCTGAGGAGGAGAGACGCTGAGCTGGAGCAGCTTTCACACACACAGGATCACATCCAGTTCCTGCAGGTAACAGATATTTAAGCAAGATCCTGCTGTGACAGGAAACTTGCAAAGAAACAATTCATGAGAGCAGAATGAGCCGTTGACTGCAGTGTTGTGTTGTGCCAGACTCTCATCTGATCATCTTCTTTTAAAGATACTGCACTGACAAATAGACTTAGGAAACATTTCTCTGAGCTTTTTCTTCTGGAAGATTCTCATTATACAATTATTTTGCTGCAACTTGTACCACCGTTGCCACTTCTGCAAGAAAATGCATTTGTAGCTTTTTATGACTAAGTGGCGCTTTAACCATACACTTGTACAAGTTATCAGGCAAACATATTAAATCACATTTTTGCATGTAGCAGTCAACTTTGCTTTGCCAATGGGCTAGATTTGACAGTTGCAGTCGGCAGCATAATGAATGTCAAAACTGTGAGCCTGTGCTTAAGTTTTATTGTATGCTACACAGCAGTGGCGAGCGGTGACTTTTTTAACTGGGTATGCTGAGTGATAAGACCCCCCTCCACTGGCTTTTAGGACACTCAAAATGGATCACAGATGACAAATAAGAAACACCATGGCAGGTGTCGATTTAAATGTATGCACATTTCCTACCTTATTTGTAAATGAAATTCATCTCCAATCCTTCTATCGTTTCAGGTTTATCCATTGTTATTCGAATGCAAGAAAAATATAGCTGGTTTTCCAAGTAAAAACCGCCAAATAACGTTTACACGTAGTTACGTTATGATACGTAAGCAGAGGGTGGGGAGATGGGGGTGTAACAACATCTACCTTATTTGTAAATTAAATTCATCTCAAATCCTTATTCTATCGATTCAGGTTTGTCATTCATTGTTATTCGAATGCAAGAAAAATATAGCTGGTTTTCCAAGTAAAAACCGCCAAATAACGTTTACACGTAGTTACGTTATGATACGTAAGCAGAGGGTGGGGAGATGGGGGTGTAACAACATTTGTAGATCGGGAAGAAGGAGGCGGGAACCGGCGAACACTAGATGATGTCTCTCTGCATCAGCTAAATTATTTTCTTATTCTCAGTGAATAGGAGTTAAAACTCCCACCTGGGTGACACTACAATAACAGACCATGCAAAATACCCAAAAATATTTAAAATATTGCAAGGTAAAAAATCAGAGAAGGACTTTAACTGTAAGCGACACGAACATACGCAATATGATGTTTGTTATTATAAAAATTTTATATAGCCCACGTTTTTATAAACATTTTTTTTGTATTTACTGCTTAGGCAGTAACGTTGACAATAACGTATATCTTCAACATACGTTGTCTATGACCAAAAATGTAAGAAGATAATGTTTTCAGTGGACTTTTAAAATTTGCTTTACTTGAGAAAACAAAAATATAGTTAGTGTTTTTTTTTTTGTTTTGATTTAGTCGAGTTGGTTTTGCATTAAACACAATGTGATTTTCGGCAATCGAGATCTGACAGCAACAGCACATTTTTCCGCTTGGGCGAGCGCTTTGTGAACATCTTACCTCGTGCATGAAATCTCCCGCAGACCAGCAAATCACTGAGAACACGCTATAATCCTGACGAGTCATAGCAACAGAGCGGAGGCGAGAAAGCTGCAGAGAATCCGCTCGCCCGGAAGCAACCGCAACTGATAGATTTAAAGAAAATTACTGCCATTTGGCAAAAAAATCATTGTACGTACTTATTCTTAACTCTTTTAAGCTTTAAGTTACATTTCAAATTACAAGGGATCAACTTATAATCATGTTTATATGAATTATCCCGTAAACTTATTCTCTCAAATGGCCTGGGTATGCGGAGCATTCGCAGCTTATATGGACGGAACGCCACTGCTACACAGTAGTACACCGTATTTTTTATTTTTACAGTATTATATATATATATCTCTGAATCATGTTATATTGTTCTTGCCATAAAGAAAAGGTGGTTTACTTTGCATCTGAGCATTAAAAGAGGTAGCCTGTTTCATACATGGATTAGAGCATTTTTTGGCAACACTTACATTAAGTTTCCCTTTGTAAAGGGTTTATAAAGGTGTTCATAAATCAGAATCAGAATCAGAAGAGCTTTATTACCAAGTATGTTTACACACACAAGGAATTTGACTTGACGACAGGAGCTTCCAGTGTAGAAGAAAGTACAAACATAGTGCAGACATACATAGGAATAACACAGTAGGGATGTAATATAACACTAATATAATCAAAAAAGAAAAATTAGAAAAATGTAATAATGTACTATATACAGAAATAGAAGTATAGGAAAAAATGAATTGTTTAGATAAATGTACAGATATGTTTATTAGTGTGCAGATATGTTATTTACAAAGTGTGCAGTTTAATATAAATGGATGATGTATAATTATGAAAGATTAATTGTTCAGGCTGAATATAGCCTGTGGGAAAAAACTGTTCTTGTGCCTGGCTGTTCTGGTGGTCAGTGCTCTGTAGCGCCGACCAGAAGGCAAAAGTTCGAAGAGAGAGTGGGCTGGGTGTGAGGGGTCCAAGGTGATTTTTTTAGCTTAATTGTTCAGGCTGAATTTAGCCTGTGGGAAAAAACTGTTCTTGTGCATGGCTGTTCTGGTGGTCAGTGCTCTGTAGCGCCGACCAGAAGGCAACAGTTTGAAGATTGAGTGGGCTGGGTGTGAGGGGTCCAAGGTGATTTTTTTTAGCCCTTTTCCTCACTCTGGAGATGTAAAGATCTTGGAGGCTGGGCAGAGGGGCACCAATAATCCTCTCAGCAGTCCTGACTGTCCGTTGTAGTCTCTTGATGTCTGATTTGGTAGCTGAACCAAACCAGACAGTTATGGACGAACACAGGATGGACTCAATGATGGCAGAGTAGAACTGTTTCACCAGCTCCTGTGGCTGCTGGTCCTTTTTAGCAATGGAGGCTATGTG